CCAGTTTTTGATGGCTGGAGAGGGGTAGGATGAGACATTGGGCTTTATTGGGTGTCAGGAACATGGCCACCCTGGGCCTCCATCTGGTGGCCAGAACCAGTATGGCTACTGCCTTGCAGCACTGGTCCCAGGCCCTGCTGGACCTCTCAGCAGGGAAACCTGGGGAGAGAGTTATATCAGAGCAGACTTTCCTACAGAGACTGTCTCAGCAATATTGGGCTTTCTGCTTGCTGTTGCGTATGCCAGCTCTCTACCATGGTTACCAGCTGCCTTTGCATCTTCTTTCTCATCATTGCCACCCTTTGCTTGATTGAGATGCAGCAAGCCAGTGAGCAAAAAAGCCATGGCATCTCATCTTCCTCCCCCTCACCAACACTACCACCATTATATGGGTCAGTGTGAGAAGCTGGTGAACAGAAAGGTTGCCATGGTGAAAAAACAGGGGTCAATCCAGGGGCTTTGTCAGTGTGCTTCTGCTGGGGTACAGGCCCTTGGCAGGCGCCAGCTATGCTTACTTCTGAAGCTGTCCTTGATTAGAGATATTCTTTGCAATGCCATTGAGTAAATACCATGTAAAAAGGTATGCCAAGTGGTGGGATCAAAAACATTTGACTCAAGAATCTGCAGTCTTACCGATGGTGCATCCCTTAGTGATCAGGAGGCCCTGAACCTGGAGGTGCCCAATCATCCAGTGCTGGGCAGGAGTGGCAGATGTGATCTTTGCTGCCCTTCTTCCTGTCCTACCTGTTTTGTTAGACTTTTTTGCCATCTGCTGGGAGTGTTTTGGAGAGAGAGGGAAGATAGTAGGTACAGGCTCAGGATAACCCCTACCCTGGCTTCTCCAGTCTCCTGCCCACCCAGCCCACTGGAACAATCTTTTTCTTCTTTGCCTGAGGTTGCTTTCTAGCTGCAAGGGGTTGTGTGTGTGATCTCTTACTCCCATTTCTGAGTCTGAAGCATGCCTCTAGCCTCAGAAGGGAGGAATCTAAACCATCCTATGATCCCTGCCTAGGAGATAAAGGATTGCTTTCTAAGTTTTAAAGGTCAAAAGATACAATCCTCTGCACACTTACCTGGGAGTTAGCCACACTGAATTCAGCAAGATTAATCTCAGAGTAGAATATAAATTCAGCTGTGCTGCAAGTGTACCAACAACCATGTTTCATGGAAAAGAACAGTTTCTAGCTCTGAAGAACATGGAGAAACTGCATGACACTACAAACACTGGCCTTCCAGTTATTAGCATTTGCTTTTTGGAATTGGTCATGGTGCCTTATAGTGTTAGGAAACCTTCATCTGAAAGTATCCTAAAGACAAGATAGTGCTTCATCCCATTCCACATCCCAATACAACCTGTCTGTTGGATGCAGCAGTGACTTGGAGAAGTTGGAAGAACTATTGTTACTCAATCCAATATCTGTAACCTGAAAGCCAGTATTTCATTCTGCCTAATGGTAGAGCCAGCACTGTCTGTGAATAAAAAAGCAGCAGGGTAGGGAGAAGAACTCAGTCTAACTCTTCCCATTATGTTCTGTTTTATCTGTGTGCTGGGAAGTTTCCCTCTTAAATGTGGGCAATTAAAACATGCAATTCTTTTCCCACCCGCTTTTACCAAGAAAAGATTTATAATTTAATGCTGCATGAGTTTCTGGCAGTGAGCCCCACAGAAATGAATGGGACATACTTCTGAACATGGCACATATAAGATTCGATCTCTCATTTATGAACTGGCCTTTGAAGTTCCTACCCCATAATTTTTCAGGCCTTTTAGTCCCCTGCTATTTCTCTGCCAAATCTATTAAAATATCTACGCTAATACACTTGGAAGTTACTTTCCACCTCTTCATTTTGCAACCCAAAATAGTATAATTGTGCATTGTTAATTCTAGTGGCAGCGTTTCTGGAGGCAGAATTTGGGACTCATTTTGAATCCTTGCGAGATTAGGCGCAGTTACATGAAGCAGCCAAGGTGCTGCCTTGTTGATTCTGCACAAGGCACAGAGATTAGGCACACCTCGCTGCATGAACCCTGGTGATGGTAAACATCTCTCTGGGAAAGGTGCTTAACGTGGCTACTTTTGTTTTGAGGGGAAAGCAACAGATTGGGTGAGAAGAAGCAATCGAAATGCAAATAGCAGTCTCTTCTTTTCTCCTGCACCTCCAGAAGAGGGGGAAAGATGCCTTTAATCAAGCATCTCCTTTCAGGAGGGGCAGGGAAACAGGAGAAGCAAGGCAAACAGGCAAGCAGGAGAAGGCAGGGGCTGCTTGTATTTCCTCACTTGCCCCCCCTTTCTACATACTATGTAGCGAGGATTGAGACCACAGTGCTGCCTAGCAGCAGAATGTGAGAAGCTACTTCTGCCTGCTAACTGTTCGTCTTCCTTCCTCTCTGGGCACTGAAGGAGCCAGCTCTTCCTTTCCGGCAGTCATCTCTGTTCTCCCTCTGGGCTGTGCTGTGCTGTGCTGGCTGGAGAGGGCTGAGTCCAGTTACCCAAGCTGTCCACATGACCTCAAGTGAGCAGGAATCCTTGGTCCCTTGCTCAGTTTATTCCCTCTGGGCCATGCAAGATCGAACATTTTGGCCAGGAAACCACATCCTCACTGTTGTGCCACCCCAAGTGAGACGGGGGGCATGCGAATGAGAAGCACTGGGAGCTGCTGTTTGCAGGGTGTGTCAGCCTTTCTCTCAGCTGTGAGGGGTAGATGTGTGATGGTGGGCACCATCTCCAGTGTCTCATGCACGTTCCCCACAATGCTCCACCTGCTCACTCACGCTCTTGCTTTGCAATGCAGCAAGGTTTTGTAGGGCCACACAGAGGCTGGGGCTGGCTCACTGGCCCTCTGCCTGCCTGCTCACCCTTTCTGGATGGTGTGCAATAGACAGCAAGCAAGCAAGAATGAGCTTCTGGCTCATTCATCCTCTCACTAGGAGGTGCAGATGACCTGGTCACTCAGGCCGAATCCCCACCTTCATTCTGCTTGGAGGAAGAGACTGATGGATGAGGCAGCCAATAAGCCTGCAGACTAGCGGGTTCTTCTGCAATCTTTTTATTGGTCTAATCAAGATGCTGCACTAACATAGATGTTAGGGGGTTTTCTGAAGGTTGCCTATGTTTGACTGGAGAGGGTGAGGTGGCTGCTTCTTCCATGGTCAGCCCTCTAAGCTACACTGGAAATAAGAATGGGCTGTTTTGTCTCTGGACTATGCCAGGGTTGTTCAGTCCCCAGTTACCCTCCTCTCCATCCTGGTTTGCTTGGCATAATAACCTCCGGTCATAGTAGTGTCTGGCAGGTGTCACAGCAACTCGAGGGTTAATTAACCCTTGGTGGGCTGCAGTGCTGCGATGATCAGGTCACAGAGAAATGAAAATTTAGCAGGTATGGTTGCACTTTCTCTTGAAGCAGCATTAAAAGTCCAGTTCTCCCCTCCCTTTTCCTCCCAAAGGGTTCAGCCTGTGAAACTGATTGGTGGGAGATTCAAGACAGATGAAAGTCCGTCTCGCTACAGCACACCTGAAATTCACTCCCACAAGATGTTGCAATGGCCACCTGTTTGGATGGGCAGGAGTTGGGCAAATTCATGGAGGGGAGGGCTGTCAATGGCTCCTCGTCCCGATGGCAATGCGTCCCCTCCAATGTCAGAGGCAGTGGGGCTGTGGCACTGACCTGCTTGTGGGATCCCGTGGGCAGCTGGCTGGTCACTGTGTGGACTAGATGGACCCAGTGTGGCTCTGACATTCCAAACCTTGGACACTTCCCCCCTGCTGTCAGCAGTCGCAGAGCTGAAAGGAAGGGCCTCTACGGATGGGTAGGGTCCCAATTTAAGACCCCATTTATAGAATGGCCAACCAAACTGAACCTAGGCACTCGATACACAACTCCTCAAAAAGTGAGCAATCTAAAAGCATGTGCAAGATTGTTTCCATGCCTGGCCCACATTGGCAGGCCTTCCAATATATGGCACCCCCTTGAATCTGCTGGGCATGATGCGGACGGCATCACAACTTGGTCAAGAATATGCCCTGTGCTCCTGTGGCCCTTTATTTGAATTCAGTATTTGAATCCTCGACTGCACATTGTCTATTTTCATCGCCTGTCGTTCTTATGTGTTTTAATACGTGATGTAGTTTTTATGTGAAACCTTGTAATTTGCTTAGAGAGTCCCTGGGCTAGTTAATAGCGGAATAAAAATTGAATAAATAAATACAGCAATAAATAAAATAGGGGTGCAACCTGGGGATTCCTGCCTGCTCTTTTCCAGACTCGTTTTTTTTAATTGTAAGCCGTCCCGAGACACTAGTGGTGGACGGGTTAGAAAAGCTTTTAAAACATAAATAAATAAATAAATAAATAAAGGAGCAGGCAGGGCGCGTAGAGAACGGTGGAAGGCGTGCGACTTATTGTTCCCGGCTCGATCGTCCCCCGCCCTCACCCCTTTCCTAAATCAGCCACTTTCCCTTCAAAACAAAAGGAAGAGCATCCTTTTGTCTCTTCCTCTTAAGCACGCCTTTAACCTTGCTTGCAGCTAGGCCCGAAACTTTTGGCTGAAAGCGCACCTGGCGCACTTCCCCGACGGCGGCACGAGACAAAAAGGGACCCCGCCGCGCTTTGCGAAATCGCAGGCTCCGCTCCCGCCCGCACTTCCCCCAAATCGTGGGCAGGGCCAGGACCTGCCGGAGCCTCCGATTGGCTGCGCCGGGGCTTTAAATGATTTGGAGGCCGGCTCGCGGCGCTGGGAGGAGGAGTTTCCCCGGAGCCTGTTGCTCGCGCGAGCGCCGGAGGACACTGCCCGGCTCCTCTGGTGCCGCCGCCGCCGCCGAAGCGCCTCCCATTCAAAGCCGTCCCGAGCAAGAGACGGCGATCTGCGGGAGCGCGGCGGCCACACGCCGCGGCGGCCCCCGATGCCCGCTGCTGCCCGGCTCGCCGCCCTGCCTTCCGCAGCGCCTGCCCGGCCCGGGGAGCTGAAGTTGTGCCGCCGGCGGAGCTCGCCTGCGTCGTCCCGCCGCGATGACCCCGCGCGGAGCGTGGCTTCTGTACGCGCTCTGCAGCCTGGCGGCCTCGCCGCGCGGCGCCGCCGTGCAACTTCAGCAGGGCATGTGAGTGGCCCGGGCGGGCGGGCGGCGCTCGCCCGGATTCGTTTTGTGCGGGCGGTTGTTCCGTGCGGGCTTGCCGAGCACTCGCTGGGGGGTGTGCATGCGGGAAGAGTGATGTCTCCAGCGTTATCACGCTTAAATCGAACTCAGGAGAAGGGTTACTCTAAGTAGGGTAGGTTGGGGTGCAGCCCATAGGCTTTTGGTTCAAAAAGTGGAGCGTCTTGAATTCGAGCGCATCTGTCCACGGTCGCGGTCCTATATCCACTTATCTGTGAGTGGATCCCGTTGATCGCAGTAGCGTTTACTTCCGAGTAAACACGTATCCACACTTTGCGGCGATGCCTGTAGAAAACAGGTCTGTCTGTCCACCTTTCCTTTCTGCTTCTGAGCAAGAAACGCTGGCGAAGGGCGACCCTTGGGACGTAGTTTGCTGTTTACGCTCAGCGTTGGAGGTTTCTGTCCAACGGGTCCAGCACCGGGTACTCTGACTAGAGGATGCTGTCCAGGGTTCCCTTGAAGAGATGCCAGAGTTTGAACCAGAGATCTTCTGGTTGATTTAAAAATTGAGAATTTCGTGGGGGACGGGGTCAGGTTAATAGAGTGCTTGTACATGTTTAATATGGAGTTCCTTCTAAGTTCTATCGGAGGTGCATCCCGGAGAAGTATAGGATGAAGTGTTTGGTAATTCTCCTCCTCCTCCTCCTCCTCCTGTTTTTAGAAAGCAATTTTCCCAGGCAATGGAGTTCAGGCACCCCAGAACACAGTTATTCTGGGGTCTTTCTCATTTTGGAGGAATGGCAAGCTGCTTGGCACAGGACAACCTTTCTCGTGTATTTCTCTTCCCGTAACAGCAGTTGCATGTGCCTGTGCATATAACACTGGGTGACTATATCAGTGTGCATGTATGGGGAAGACTCAGTTGGTGTGCCTGTATCAGAATACATGCGTGTATGTGTGTTCTGTGATTGTGTACATGGGGGTTGGTGAACACAGTTGCCCCACAGGAGTGATGCCTTTGTGCTGGATCCATGATCCTGAGTTGCTGGTGGGCTACAGTTTTAGTCAGGCTTCCTCGGAAGTAACTCAGTGTAGTGTAGTTCTTGAGCAAATATGAATAGGATTGCATGGTTGCTTTCTCTGTAGAGAGGAAAAAAACCCGCAGTTTGTTACAGTGTATGTGTTTCTTTTGGTGCAAATTTCTCTGAGCCAGAATGCTCTCAGCAAAGTAAGTCCTTGTAATATTTCTTGACCAATGGTGAAGGTTACGAGTAAAGGGGACTTAATGGTGCCCAATAAATGTGTGTAGGATTGCACCATTACACTTCGTCAGCTTTGGTTTATTTTTTCTTCAGGCATTTATGCTGACTTTAGAATAGCATCATTCAAATGAATAGACTTTTGAATGCTTTGTTCATTACCTTGAAGATGTCTTTATTTCCATCCTTCTGTTCACAATAATCAAGTATCCGGTGCAGACCTGATCGCTCCATGGTTTAGAGCAGCAGATTTATACATCCTGTTTCCATTCATGTACACATATCTCCTTTTCATGGTTTTGATTGGACCATAATTTAGCAGCAGGTCGACGTTGATGCTAACCATGGTTTGCAAATACACCTTATACCATGATTTCAGGCCAGTCCAGGTTCTGCTTAACTGTAGTTAGTGCTGATGCAGATATAATTCTGAACAGTGGTTGTAATAAACCATGGAAGGGAAAGGGCATTTTCAATGGGGAAAATGTAAGCTACAGCATGTTTCTAAGCCTCCAGCTGTGGTTTGGAGACAAGGAATGTTGCATCTGTATTGAGACAAAGTAATAACATGATTCAGTTCTTGCAGTGGTGTTGGCATGCATTTTGATCGAGCGACTAGTGATTTGAATCTGCACTTGTGCAGAATCAGGAGGGCTGAATTATACTGCATTAATTAATCGGAGTCAAAGAGTGTGGCTTTGTGCATGCTGAGTGACATGCCTTGCCTGTTCTCGTGTGTCGTGTATAATGCTTGAGTGACACTGTCTTGTCTATATGGTGGCTCACGATCAGGGGTCAGCCCCATGGCAAAAAGTTTAATTGGATTTCTTTTCTTGACAGCTGCTTTGTGCACTAGCTGCAGACTCCAGAAGTCTCCAGGGGTTATTAAACAGAGAAATGATTAGTGAAAGGTGTACTATTTTTGCAGGATGGGAGCAGCGTGCTGCTGTCTGTATTTTGCACCTATCTTAGGCTGAATGATTCAGAGTAGAATCATAAGGGGACACTGACAGGTCTGAACTCTAAGGCATCCTTTGCTATTTGATGAGTCATGACAGATCACTGCAGCTTTATCAGCCCCTGTCAGTGCTTTCTTTCTGGGATGGACTCATTATTGAGGTACTAAAACCTGCCAAGATGTGCAGAGCAGTTAGAGCTTTGTGCGCATGTGGGGGCTTTTTCACATGAAGTTGCAAAAAGTCCCCACTGTGAGTCTTATTGAGGGAGATTAGAAGAGTGTGGCCTTTCCGCTAGCCCAGCTTTGAACTAGATATATTTTAACCTCTCCTCTCCCTCTTCCTTGTGTCACCTGGCTTTTGGTATTGTATGCTCATAGTCAAGGACTGTCTTGTTTGACTGATCCTACACGAGGTGCTCAAGGAGACTTCTTGGTTGACAAGAAGGATAAAACCAAAGAGGGTCCCGTCTTGCAACTGGTGGGTGGAAACCCATTCCTGGGCCATGGGCCAGCCTGATATGGGTCACACACTCAAGGCACAGGAGTCTTTTTTAATAGCTTTTTGCAAAGCTTTTTAAAAAGTAGGCAAGAGGTTAAGTAGTTGCCCACGAGTGGAAGCAAAAAGGAGTGGCCTTAGGTGAGTACCCTGAATTGTATGCCGTTTGTGTGAGTAGTCTGGTGGAGGACCGGAGTGCTCAAATCCTCCAGAGTGGTTGGCAGAGAAACGAAGGGGATGGCCAGAGGAGGGAAGGCCCCAGTTCTGCAGCGAGCAGAGAACGGTGGCGGAAATGTTGGTGGAGTGGTGGCAACAGCCATCCTTTCTCTGCCAGTTCCCAGCAGGATAGGTTTTTAATTAGTATTTGCAGTCTAGTAATTTTTGTGTCCTATATGCAAAGCTGAGATAAAGAGGAAGAATAAGGAGGAAATATGGGTGGCAGGAAGAAAAAGTGTGTGCAGAGTATGGTGAAGAAAGATACAAATAGTAAAAAATAAGGTAAAAAACAGAATGGTCCCCATACGGCTTAGTGGGAGGGGCTCTTGCACAGTGGCGGAGCACATGAGTGGGCATCAGGGGGCCCGGGTTTGATTCTCAGCTTCTCCAAATAGGAGAAATAGGCTGTCAAGATTCCTCCCTGAAACCCTGGGGAGCTGTCTACTATACCAGGCTAGATAGGCTGGTGCTCTGGCTGATACTGGGTAGCCTCCCATGTTCCTGTGTGCTATGCAGGGGATCAAAGGCAAATCAGAAATTTGGAAAGGTCAAAGGCCTTCCGGGATGTTTAACAATTTGCTGCCATTTTCAGGGGCCACAGCAGGCAAATGATGGGAACTGTCACTGGTGGCTTCATACTCTGTTTCTCAGGTGATGAGTGCTGTTAGTATGACACTGACATCATGGAGGACCCCCGAAGGCTGCTTTCTCTGGAGAGGCTGAACTTTTCAGGCAGGGCTGTGGAAGCTTTCCAGGCCCAGGAGTTGCATGTCAATGTGGGGCAGAATGCAAGGCGAAAAGGGTGAGGGCAGAAATGCTGACATGATTTAGCTGCTGTGGCCAGTACCTAAGACTTAGAGGAATCAGGCATTTCAGCTTTTTAGAATTTGCGGGCAGGGGAAGTATGGGAAAGTCAGGAAACCAGCTAATTATTTGCTGTCAGGGAAAAGGGCATGGGCAGGAAACATAGAAACTGAGTGAGTCAGAAGGAGTCTCCTGAGCCATCTAGGCTGACCCCCTGGCCCCAGCCGGCTCCGCTCATGACATGCACATGGCTAGGAAAGGTGTGGCCATCTTGGAAATCCTGGAGGGTTGGCCTGGAAGCCCAGGTAGGTCGGACTGTCCTTGTTCTTGAGGGTTGATGCCCCTTTTCTATAGTTACCCACGTTTTGCTGACCTGTTGACTTATATTCAAGTTTGTTTAAATGCTGGCCTTTTGTTACTGTGAAGTGCCTGGGCAAAAGCTTTACCATGTAGCTAGTGAAATGGAGTGGTTAAGAGTGTAGGACTAAGGTGATCCGGGTTCTAGTCCCCACTCAGCCATAACGCTCAATGGGTGACTTTGGGCCAGTCACAGACGCTCAGCCCAACCTACTTACAGGTTCGCTGTGAGAATAAAATTGAGAGGAGAAGGAAAATTATGTAAGCCACCTTGAGTTCCTTTGAAGCAAAGGATATAAATATTATAAATAAATAAAATATTGTGTGAGGGGGCGATTCCCTCCAAGGAAGAAAGCTTTGATGCAGTTGTTCTCAGTGATCGAAGGCACTATTAATTGTCTCTGAATTTGTGAGACTCCTTTTGTGCTCATCTGTTCCATCGCTTGAGGTGCATAGCTGTGTGGTGCTTTCCAGTGCTACATCTCATATTAGTCTTATTGCAAACTTTTGCAAAAGGTGTTCTTATTTGTGGAGAAGCGGCTTGACATGAGCATTTAAGAAATGGAGGAATTTGTATTTAGCACGTCAGCCATGAGAAGGATGTGATGCGAGCTTCCTTAAGAGGACAAAAGGATGCCTGAGAAGAAGTGAGATCTGCTTGAAATTTGACCTGTGGCCATTGAAACGTGCGCAAGAGAGTCCTGTAGCACCTTCAAAGGTCCTGCAGGACGTGGTGATAACTCTGAATGCAATTGAGGGCATGATCCTGTGCAAGTATGGACTGAAAAGTCACACAGCTGCTAGCATTCCCAAGCCATTCATGCTGGCTACAGAGTGCGGGGCTTTCTAAGACATCCCTCTGTCTGCACATACATAGGACTGTGTCCCGAGGAAACCATTTGGGATCCCCATAAGC